ATAATTTATGCATTATTATTTGTACATTTGCCCAAAAGCAGTCAAAATGACTTCCTTGGGCAATCTACTGTTAATGACATTAATACTGACTGAAACAGTATTTTAATATATACAAGCAAAGCACAATTCTTGCCTGTTACATTAAGTGATTGAGTAGAGAATCTTCACACATTTTGAAGATAGCACTCTGCTATTCAGAAATGAAGGATGGATGGATAATTATAATTAGCGCCGTGAGAGTAGGCACCTCGTTATCTCGTTAAACGTGCTTCATATTCAAGTAGTTATTCAGAAGGAACAAAAATGCCATTGTACGTCTATTAAAGCGAACAAAATCTCCATACATTAAAAACAGTGGGGAAGCTGTCTGTATATACCAGGCATGTCCAATTCGCTGTTTTGAGTATAATAGTGCTCTCGCTGGCTCCCGAGTAAGGTGATAAGCCGAGCACGAAGCAGAGAATTATGAAGACGCAGAGAAGTCACGTTATGTTAATAGCTGGTAATAAGTGAGCACAGTGACATTGTAAATACTTTCTAACTCTCCTAGCTTAACATATCTATCTGTTGCTCGCACAATCTATACTACTTATCGTTAATTTTACTTTTGTTTATGATAAGCGATTCTACACACATCCTGAAACTACTGTATTTCGACGTGAAGTTTGAATGAGCTCATTCACATATCGTTTCTTTACTATACACGAATGGTCGACCTTACGTTGAACCTTAAGGTTACCGCGAACGAAATCGCATGGTGACTTCCGAAATGCCTACTCATCATGTATTCATTCATACCCTTATCAGATCTGACAATGAGTCAATTTATACATTTTACGATATGTCCTAAGATTATGAATGTCTATCTATAAAAAGCGAAATATCGTTTTTATAAGATCACAGGTTATATGTAAATGCTCAGAATAGTAACATAGGCGCATCTCCAAATGAATACTTGATTCATTCAAATGAGAATTCTTTCATTGCTCGAAATTCACAAGAAAATTGCAAATACAGTATTATTTATACATACTATGTATAGAAGATTGTTGACCGATTCAACACTTGCGAGAAAAATAAGCTAAATGAAAGGAGGTTCGTAAGAAATGAACAATCGGAATTGAATGATACGCGTACACAAATTTCCCGTTAAACAATACACTTGATTAGGCATAAAACCCCCCTTGAAAAGCCCAAGCAAGCAACTTTATTAAAACCAAGAAGACTAAAGGACAGTACAGACAAATCACATATTCAATAAATAATCAATCTTTCTAGCCTAGAAAGCTCTCTTACCAACGCCCATACGCCAATGCAAGATGGTCCTCTCCAAGTTCGTACGTAATCCGACGCTACCGAACGCTACGCAGTTAGCCAAGGCCGCGCCAAGATCGTCGCACTGCGAGCTGGGAACAATACCCTTGTATTTTCCCGTCAACCACCGACCGTTCACACGACACTAATAATAATCAATGCACTCTGTACCAGAGTCGCACTGTTTTATAAAACTAGTGTACCCCACACTGGGTCACACTCTTCCAAACACAACTCTAACTAGAAGATTCACACTTTTAATAACAGGACTACACGGCTGCGATGTTAGCTACTCGAGCTGTAACATGCAATTGCTCCACTCTGAGAAAACATTTTCCTCCTGCAGTGGGAAAAACGCCCTTTCCCCACTCTTTTCCTAAACTGGGTCCGCAAGACCCCTGAAAAACCCCGCCTCTGTCAGGGGTAGGCGCACCCACGCCATGACGTAGGAGATCCAACCGTCCCAAGCCTGCAGACGGTCAAAAGACTCAAGGGTCCGAATGACCCATGCTAGTACGACTCCGCGAGCTCGGACCCTAGGTCTGGTTTCTATCAACCCATACCTGGACGCAGCATCATAAACTAATTCTCGCCACCCGCTTGCCTCGACCATCCCAGTCACTTGGCCGTTGGAACCGTAATATTCTTAACGGCGTTTCCTATCTTATATTTTTAAACGAGACACAACTCGTTCCTTTACTCAACCACTCACAGCTGTCAAACATCCTTCGCTTTCTCTTCATATCCGTACTTCCTCACCCTGTAATTTATCGCCTACCCTAAACCGATATACACAAATAACCTAACTAGACAATAATACAGAAAAATACTAAAAAACACCCCGAGCGGATTAAGTCGCGAACAAAGATATTACATGCGCATATACATACATATTATGGTATATACATTATACTGCATATTATACGTTCGTAAAAGATCGTATACATTAATAGATAAATGTGAAAATTTTTAATTCGAGAAGCTAATATCGATTTAGTAATAAAAGCTTCACTGAC